CTTGAACCGAGCACAAAATATGTTATATCCTACCTAACAACATAACTAATCAAATAATAATATAAACAATATATTTACATTTAGCCATTATCCAAATATAAGAAATATAAAAAATTATATGAAAAAATACTTTATTTTCATAATCTAATAACATTGAAAAACCCATTCAGGTTGCAGCTCAGCAAAGATAAAACAAATTTGAAAAATTTTGTTAATGGTTGGACTTTTTTTACCTACTACCCCACCCTTTCCCCACCCGGGGGAGTTGAAAAAGGGGACCTCCAGGAGTTTTAAGAGGCAATCATTTCCCCCCTTTTTCTAATAAAAAATATTTTTTCCCCTTAATCTACCTTGCCCCAAATTACTATCGCATTTGCTTTGCCTGCTTTTGTAAGGGAAGTCCAGGATTTTTTCCTTTAAATTCATGGTATAACTTAACAAATCTTTGATGACAATTGTGCAGCAGTGGTCTGAGCTTCGCTCAGACTCAATTGTCCTCAAAGATTTGTTAATTTTATACCATGAATTAAGGAAAGATCCTAGACTTCACCTTATGAAAGCAAACAAAGCAAATGCGATTATGGACAAGGTAGATTATAGTGGAAAAATAAACATGATATTATGAGGCAGGGAAACTTACGCGCCTCTAACCTCCTGCATTTTCTGCTCCCACCTAATCTGTGAGTATGGAGTTCCACTCCTCTTTCTTGCTGTATCCCTCTGAATCGTGGCTAATTGGGGAATTTCCCCTTGTTTTTTTGCATGTGTAATAAATTTTTTGTTTATAAACTCACAAATATCCTTCGCCTACAATATATTATATTACGTGAAGCACCTAACCTCTTTATGTCATTCAGCACAATAAGTGTTTGAGACTTTATCCTCCGTCCACTCATCGAGACCGTGGCTGCTGATCTCTCATGATACATAAAGTCGAGAAGGAAAGTTATCTTTTTGGTATTGAGCAAAGGGATTCAGGAAAACCGGTTAGCCGAACTTGATTTCCCGGGGGTACATTTTTGCGCTCTAAAACAGAAATAATTTCATTTAAGAAATGTACTCAGGACGCCTCGGCATGACAGTGATAGATTCGGGAAATAAAATGTACATATTTGTTACCCTAGACGCTGGTGAGGGTTCTTGATTCAAGGAATTGAGTTCCCCTCGGTCAAACCTTTCCTCTTAATCCCCCGGGGCGTTTGACCCCTAGGGTTTTAGGCTTTCCCATAAAGTTAAATAAAATTGGGTTGCGTATTTTTATTTATTGGAGAAGCGATAAAACCCCTTGGAGTCGGCAGCGCCTGTGCAAGAAAAGGAACAATTTGATCCAAAGGGAAAACGAGGGGGGCTCCAGTTACTTGGATCAAGACTCATTCACCATAGTCGTTACCCATATTTCAGATCTACCTGGAGTGTATTCCGGGGGTCAACGCCCCCGCGGCCCTAACCTTGACCAGGCTTCCTTATGGATCAGGGCCTGGTCAACCAGACTGTCACTGTTGGCCGCACGTAGCCCAGTGTGCGAACCAATGCCCGGCTGATCAGGTACTGGTTTTAGGCATCTTTCCAACTCCCTGGTCTATTGGCAATTCCCCTTATGCCTGGTAGAAGGTTATTGAAGAGTCTTGGGTCTCAGAAACTTACTGTGTTTTCTCTTAGTGTATTCATGGCGTCCCTACTTTTCACTAGGGGTATGTTGCACTGTCTGCCCAGCGTTTTGCTTTCGTA